CGCCCAAGATTTCAAGACCGATTTGCGTTTCCAGAGCTCGGCTGTTATGGCCCTGCAGGAGGCCAGCGAAGCCTACTTGGTGGGGCTCTTTGAAGATACTAACCTGTGTGCTATTCACGCTAAGAGAGTCACCATCATGCCTAAGGACATCCAGTTAGCCCGGCGTATCCGTGGTGAGAGGGCTTAAAGGCTGCCCTTCAACTTCTAGTAACAACCTACTCCAAACGACCCAAAGGCTCTTTTAAGAGCCACTACATGCACACTGAAAGGAGCTGTAACAATCCTATAATTTATTCCCTCTATTTGTTTTGCGTTTAATTGAAGATGACTACATGAGCATTTAGAACTTGGTTTGGGTAAGTCATTTGGTTGAAACGAGCTTCACTTCAACTAACGGGGTGATTAGTGTTCTCTAAGTGTATTGAATAATTGTGTCCTGTTGTGACTAAGGCGGGCTTTAAAATATAGTCAATAATTTGGATGTTCCCTTTTAAATAGCATCAGCGTTCAGCTGTAGAATCTTAAAAGCTGCTAGCCAAAAATCGTTCTCCTGCAGGAAGCCAGACCTGGACAGAATGAACCTTTGGTATAGTCCTATATGTAAAAAGCATTTTTATAGGGGTCGAATAGGAACTGTGGTTTAAAAATACTTGTCACATATATAGTGAAAACAATTCCTATTTCTTCCAACATATTAAGCCTCTTGTTTTTAAAATACTCAATGTAGTTTGGGGAACACATAATGCTGTTAATGATAATAGAGCTCTTTCATTGAAAAGATGGAGGGCTCTTAAAAGAGCCTTTGGGTTATAGATTAAGTGGTCAATTAGTAAACCATTTACTTAGAGCTGGTGTACTTGGTGACAGCCTTGGTGCCCTCAGACACAGCGTGTTTGGCTAACTCGCCCGGCAGCAGCAGTCTTACAGCGGTCTGGATCTCCCGGGAAGTGATGGTTGATCGCTTGTTATAATGTGCCAGGCGAGACGCCTCCCCAGCAATACGCTCGAAGATGTCATTTACAAAAGAGTTCATTATACCCATAGCCTTGGAGGAGATGCCAGTATCCGGATGAACTTGTTTCAGCACTTTGTAGACATAGATGGAATAACTTTCTTTCCTGCTCTTCCTACGTTTCTTATCCCCCTTTTTTTGGACCTTAGTCACAGCTTTCTTAGATCCTTTCTTAGGAGCGGGAGCAGATTTTGCTGGTTCAGGCATTTTCGACAACTTCTGCTTTACCACGTGCTTCTCTCACTTACACACCTACTGCAATTCAGCCTGAATAACACGAACTACCCCCCCCCCCAACTGCTGTATTTATAGATACCTTATGCAAATAAACGACTGTCCTTGATTTACTATTGGGCGGACGCACAAGAGACGTCTCCACCAGCACATCGAATCCCACTATTGGCCAGAGTTGGATCCGCGTCTCCATTGGTTGTTTAGATACTAACGCCACTTCAGCCTATCAAAGAGCGTTTACCTCTTCAAATAGAACGGATATAAGGGTAGGGAGGGCTCCAGTGAGATCATTCTTTTTCTATTTGACTTTTGTTACTGTGAGTGCTGTTTGAAGCGATCATCAATCATGTCAGGCCGAGGAAAGCAGGGCGGTAAGGTGCGGGCTAAGGCAAAGTCTCGTTCCTCGCGGGCTGGGCTGCAGTTCCCGGTGGGCCGTGTGCACCGCCTGCTCCGCAAAGGCAATTACGCTGAGCGGGTGGGGGCTGGAGCCCCGGTCTATATGGCTGCGGTGCTGGAGTATTTGACCGCTGAAATTCTGGAGCTGGCCGGCAACGCGGCGCGGGATAATAAGAAAACGAGGATCATCCCCCGTCACCTGCAGCTCGCCATCCGTAACGACGAGGAGCTCAACAAGCTGTTGGGGAAAGTCACCATCGCTCAAGGTGGTGTCCTACCCAACATTCAGGCCGTGCTGTTGCCTAAGAAAACTGAGAGCCACAAGGCCAAGAGCAAGTAAAACCCGAACAAGAATCTTTACTAAAAAAACAACAACCCAAAGGCTCTTTTCAGAGCCACCCACAAAATCAAAAAAAGCTGTGTTATCGCTGACTTTCTTAGCAGTAAAGGATGTTAATAGAAAACAGCCATGTTATATCTGTTTTGAAATATTAACCAGCAGCACTAAGGTTTGGTTGTGGGTTAGAAAATAAATATGAAAAATGGGGCATGCCATACCTTTCTTTATAGGTCATTTGTACTTGGGGGGCAGGGAGTGTTTCTAATCTGAGTGGAAACCAACTAAAATATCCTGAGAGGGAGGTATCTGGTGTTAAGTTATTTCCTCGCCTGGATAGCAAAGCAGCGTTTATACAATGTTGTCTTTTTCCCCTTAAAAGATCGAGCTGTGCGGATTGCTAAGGATCAATTCCTTGCACAGCGGAGCAGGCTTTCCAAATTTAACCCTGCTCCCGCCCGTAGACTAGAAAAGGGACTCTTGTCTATAGATGATCACTACATTTCTCCTTACCCCCACCTGGTGGCCGAAGCTATATTCTCTCGGGCGCACACAACTTCTCTCCCTCACACAAGAAGCGTGGAGTTACAGTAACTCACTCCCCTAACGCTCGACTCTAACACTAGTATTGAATCTTCTAAGTAATTTTCTTAGTACATCGAATCCTCTACCCGAAGAAAATGAAAGCTACAAGTGATCTGTAAAGGTGTTCCCATTCGTTTGCTTTCTAGCAAGGGCGTCCGGTCTGTGGCGCGAATGACCCAAATAAACCCCATTTCCCCGGGGCTGCTTCATGTTCACTCCCAACGAGCCCACAAAAGTATGTTTTATTGGGCCCTTTCCTGTGATTTTAAGGGGCAAGATTGAAAAGGGAATTTCTCCCTTCCATGAAAAGCACCGTGAGGTTGTTAATAAACGAACCTTGTCAGCTATTTTGGGGAAGGAGTGGATGGCTTTGGGTTTCTTTGAATGACAAGAATCTTCATTAATTTAACTTTTTCCTGGGCGCCGCCTTCTTTGCCTTCATCTTTCCTTAGCTTCGGATTGGCAGCCTTGGGCTTCAACGCTTTGACTTCTTAGCCTGGGTAGTTTTAGCCCTTTCCGGGCTCTTGGCTGCTTTCTTGGTTTTTTTTTTTCCCCGAGCTCCTTTTCGCGATCTCAGCCTTATGGGGCTGCTTCACAGTTGGTTTCGTAGGCTCTGCCTTTGTTGTTTGTTTCGGGGTTGGGGTTTTTTGTGCCTGTGCCCGCCCCCCCCGCGCGTCTTTTCCTAGGTCTCTGTCGACTTCCTGCTGATTTTGAAGAAATGGGAGGCCCGGGTGCTTTGGTCTGAACCAAGATGCCCTCGCTCACCAGACTTTTGATGAGACTATTGCTTTTCCCCACATCGTACCCTCCGGCAGGCCACCTAAGAGCGGTCAAAGAGAGCCCTTTGCGCTTAGAAGCAGACATTGATCAGCTGGGACCCGAGGACTTGCAGGTTTTGGAGCCTCCTGCCGCCGCCTTCAGCTTTTCAGCGGAGGCTTTAGCTCAAAGATAAGAAACAGCCGGAGCAGCAATAAGCGCTGTTTCCGACATACTGCACTAGCAGAATTTTTCTATAACTCATTTGGGGGGGAGGGGGGGAAGCTGGCGCCTGTTGTTCATACACCAGAGGTATTCTGTGATTGGTGCATTAAGGAGCCCGCTCGGGAAGGACTTTTCTGCCCGCGCAGGGTTTTGGGGTGTTTTTTTCAGAGTTAAAAAAAGTTTTGTTTTTCACAATAATTGCCACCGAATCATTTGATTTTACAACTGGGTGAAGGGGAAGCAGGGTATTTTTATTCAGTAGGGCTTCCCATTGGATAAACTAATAATGAGTTAAAGAAGAACCAATAAATTAAGACTGTACCCTTGGAAATAAAATTACAACTACAAGGGAATCTTCGTCTTTAAAGGGCTACCTCCAAATCAGGGTAGAAAGCCAGTGATTTCAATCTTTTTTTTTTCCCCGGTTCAAATTGATTTTGGAGAAGGGACCGACCTTCTGTTACTTCCTCTGAATTTTGAATACGAGAGAAGAATTGGTTCCCTTAACCAAGTATTTTACCTCCTAAACACAGTAAATGTATACATGTAATTGTCATAGTGTACCTTTCTAGATATTCCAATACAACATAAAGTTATTTTTAAGTTTTTAAAGACATTTTATTGTTTGAATTAATTACATTCCTATATAATTTGTTTATTAAATGCAAAAAAACAAAGTAGTTGCTAGAGTAATATTTTGATTGTATTTTCAAAAGCAAGAAAGACTGGGGTTTTTTACACCATTATTTCTGATGACATTTTGCTAGTCAGAAATTGTTGCTGTAAAAACATGAAGTTATATAGAGGACATTAATTAAAGATCAAAATGCTTTCAATCCATTATTTCTTTTTCCACTTACATTTAATAGTATGCAAAAGTGCTTTTAGTAAACTGGACAATTAATGTTAGCTCTATGAATTACTCATATTTGTATTGCATTGTGAACTGCATGAAAATTTTATACCTACTGGTCGTTTTGTTTTGTTTTGATTTGATTTCTTTGTTTGTTTTTTAGCACTAATAGAACATGATTCAGTGTTTTGGGGTTTTTTTTGAAAAGGTAATGAGAGCCTTACCTCAGTTCAAAAATGAACTCATAAGCTCTAGTTATAACTAATTAATTACAAGTTCACAAAAAGTTCTGAATTATACATCTGAATTATCCATAACAATAAAAGTGAATAAACTGTATATTCTCTTTCCATTCCATAACAGTAGCTAGAGATTGCTCATGATAATTTTGGCTGTAACCTGGTGAAAACTAGGGCACAATCAGGTCCTAAGCAACAGGGAAGAAGCCGATTTGCTATTGAAGATGATAAACCATGATAAATAAAATTAAGGCACATCATAGCAATAAGTAATAACAGTAATAAGAAAATGTTACTTACCAGAATCAACACTGGTTATTTAAGAAATATAATGGTTGTTTTTGCTTTGTTTTTCTCCTGTACGCTATGTTGTGGACAGGCCCTCATGTAGTTATTAGAAACAATAGTCGATGTAGCCTAATGAATCCCCAAGATAAAATGAGAGAAGACATTTAGCACTTTTAGTATAACCCTTTAAAGGACTTCTTTGTCACTTAAAAAAACCCCAAATGTATGAGACATGATAAATTTGTGATGGTTACTACAAAGCATACTCAGATGAAATGCAAACAATACATGAAAGCTATTAAGATAAGCAATCTCCTCCTTGTCTGCTGTTTAGATTCATCTCAATTTGTGTTTTTTGTTGTTTTTTTTTTTTTTAAAGGAGGGAACAGGGTTGGGAGAGAGAGGGGATGAGAAAAAACAGCTCCATGTTTCATCCTTAACATAAAAGTCAACCTGAGAAAGGCCCATAGGAATATGATTTTAGAGAATTGTCAGTAAAACTGAAGCACAGGAGGTAAGATATGGATGCATTGTTTGCTAGTGGCATGGTATTGCCAGTCTGGTTCACTTAGTTTCCCCTTAAAGAGAAAATTATGCTAAGCATCACCCCGAAAATGAGGATGTTTTAAAAATACTTTGAATTGTCTGTGAGCATCTGTCCTCTTTGGGTATAAGTAGTTCATCTTCCCCAAATTACAAAATAATTTCATTACAAAATGAAAATATGCATTTTAATTTGTTAATGATTTTATCTGATTCCAAAACTGTGCTTACGAGGGTTCATTAGTCAATCTTTGCTTCATTCAATACTTGTGCATTTCATTTTGCTTCATGATAGGTGTACATACAGTCACTCTTCCCTCCACCCACATGCCCATTTATCCATTCATAAACACCCCACATGGAACAATCCTGCACTTGGGGAAACACCTGTGTTCACCAGACTCCTACACAAGCCACTCCCCCATATTTCAATTAAACTCACTCCCCTGAACTCTATCCAGATGTAGTCCCTGCACAGTGTCACATCCCTTTGCTCAAATCCAGACACTCCCATGCTCACAATTTTTTCTCTCCACCGTTTGCACACTGTCACCATTTACCATGTACCCTCTGCTAGATTCCAACTTTCTAGAATGAGGGGTATGGAGGTAGCAGAACTGTTTTTCTTCTCTGCTGCACTTTTTCCAACCTGGCCCTTCCCAGCTGAAGCCCCACTTCTTCCCTAATAACCATATGTTGTTGTTATTTTTAATCCAGTAGGGCCTAAAGTGCCCAACCAGTGCCACAGTCCTATTGCTCTAGGCATTGTACCAACTAAGGCCTTGTCTACACTACAAAGTTTTGCCAACGCAAGTTATGCCAACATACAGCCACCACTGTAATTAAACGGCAGTTGCATGTCCACACTATGCTCCTTGTGTCAGTAGAGCGCATACACAATAGCAGCTCTTGCATTGAGACAGAGCAGTGCACTGTGGATAGCTTTGGGAAGTGTTTGCAATGCCTCATGGGGGGAGGTACAGTGTCATATGATGAAAGTTTCTAAATCCCATCATTCCATGGGCATTGTACTAGATTGCCAACTGCTTTTCAACTGCTTTGGTAACCTGCAACCCAGCCATCTCTGTCACAAAGCATGGATCCTGCACTGCTCTTCAGTATTGTGTTGTGCATTATGACTACAAGGCTATAAGAGGAGCCCAATGGGAAGCTATTCAGCTGGGGATGCCTTGAAGGAGCATGATAACACTGAGCCACAATAATGTGTGTTGCTATAATGTGCTGAGCCTGGCATTGTTTGTCTGCACCGTGCTATGAACCTTATAATGATTGCTGTGTGTGCCTGAAAAGTAACACATTTTAAATCATTTTTTTAAAGTAGCACTTGGTAATATGACCAAACTGACATTGCTGAACACTAACACAAGAAGCCCACAGTGTGTTGGGGGAGTGTGTGAGAGATTCTGTGGGGGGAAGGAGAGAGTAAGTGAGAGAGAGACAGAGTATTTGTTGGGGAAGTGTGTGTGTGGTGGGCAAGCTATCTCTTTAACAGGCAGCAGCCGGAAGTAAACAATCCTGAGGAAGAAGCTGGTGCACAGACAGCTGGTGCCCCCCT